TAAACAAAATGTGACAAATTAGTGATATAAAATATATTGAGTAATGATTCATTCTAAAATTTATTTATTTACCTATGTCAAAGACGAACTTAAGAACTAAAATACTTCACTCCAATATTCCGTGCCAAAAACTATGTGTAATCAAGATTAAGTAGTAGAAAAATTTTAATCATTTGCTAGTCATTTTATTCAAACATTTATAATCATAAAATAATGTTTTTTACTACAATTAAGGACTGTAGTTATGAATTAATTGGTGTCAAAGTTTTTGTCACCTAAAGTTGCAAACGCATGTTATACCCGGTTGGCAACAAAAAATGATAAGAAAAAACTAGAAGGGTAGTCAGATAACATAGCTTCATATATGTATAGGTTCCTATAAGAGTCTTACAAGCTATTCTAACTAGAGATATGTACACTAAAAATACATCATAACCTCACTGATGTCGAAAACAACAAAAATATAGTTATATGAATAATTTATCAACAAAAACATGAAACAAATGTTTCGGTGGTGGTAATAAAATAGTACACTATCTTCTATGACATGTCACCGGCTCTGATTGTAGTGTCAACATTTACACAATGATAAATTTAAGCCATTATAAAAACTAGACACTACAACGGTAGGTACATAATGCATAAAATAATCTTTTTAGACCTATCGGCTGTCACTAACATGGTCAAACACAGCGAGTTAATATTTATATGGCTATCTTACCCTTATCTTGTGACTTCACCGCAACTTTGATAACACATAATCACAATAACGTCACTTTAAAAACAATGACGAGATTTTATTTGGTAATTCCAGAAAGAAACATGAAAAACTTTAGATTTCCAATGTCACACGAACGCAACACGTTCACCTCCTATGAAGGCGCGCCACTACGTGTTGCCATCGGCGGATTTTGTATTCCCTAAATCAAACGTCAGAATATTTTGGTAGTATTTAATTTAATCGTTTATTCCAGTTTACAATACTTACTGTACTGATCGACATACACTACGGTTTCTATGATTTTCTGGTACATTTGATGTTGACATTTTATGACATTCTTTACAATATGATGCACACGGAAACGATTTCACTTTATCACAAAGTCGGGGGCGGAGGTCACGGTCACAAGGTTGCTTATAATTTTGTTCTGAAAAACAACGTCTCATTGGATATAATTTTTTACTAATGAAGTTTAGATGATTGTCCTCACTCGATAGAATAGCCAAAACAATTGGCATTTCCCTTGAAATAGCAGAACGCAATCTTCGGATTTCATTACGTGTCGAACGTGTAAGTCTAGCATATGATTTCTTATGAGAATTTTCTTTCTTTGTGTTTCCTATTTTCCTACTAGACGTCTTCCTTGTGTAATTTCTATCACTTATTGAACTGACATGTTGGTCTTCGATATCACGTATAACACTACGAAAATTGTGATTTCCCATAATATTTATAGGTTTTAAATTTAAAAAAAGTTTTAAAAACTCAGAATTTTGACCAATTTCCAATAACAAAATTTTGACATAAATAGACTGTGTGCTTATGACAATAATTTTTATTTATAATACATAAATGAACTAGCCCAAAAAGGTTAATTGATTCAACTATTCCCCAAATTATTATTTAATAATAGGTAAAGATAAGGTTTACATATTTGTTCCTTGATCATATTATTATCATTATCAAAGGTTTTTATTTTTAATATTATAAAATACTTACAAATATGAATGTGTAACTAATTAAAAATTAAGTGCCGCCAAGTGTTGTAAAACACTCAGTACGTAGTTCTAATAAATAAACACGCCTTACCTATAGGTAGTCTGCGGCTCTGAGCCGAGGCCAAAGAGATTGCCACATGCAGAAAACTAACCTCAAATCTATGGAAAATAAAAAACGAATCGGGAAAAGTTATATTTGTTTTGTGTATCAATAATAAGTTTCTTTCTTTCAATGCCTGGTCTAGCCATAATTTCTGTTACAAAGAAAATATCGGATAATTTCTAAAAAAAAACAAATAGTTTTATTTATCATTATATGTAGAGTGTAAAAGATATATTAACGTAATAAACTAGTTATGCAAAGTGACCTTAGCTTTAACGCACGCTTTTAAATGGTCGAGCCATTCGTCAATGGATTTACGAACGGTTTCCATTGGAAATTTGGTCATTGCTGCCTCCAAAACTTTCTTGAGCGAGTCAATATTTGGGTAACGCTTAGAGCAGGCCATGTCCTCTAGCACAAACCACAATTTTAGTGCAAAGGGTTTAAATCCAGACTAGCCGAAAACCAATCATCAGCCTTTATGAAGTCTGGATCATTTTGCTCAGGCCAAATTTGGGTAGTGGGCTCCTTACGACCCGGGACTGAATCCTGTTGGAATGTCCACACTTTGTTTTTAAATAAGGTGTTGTTGAAAGGTTTAACTATCGCTTCTAACACGGTATCTTGATACACTTTGGCTGAAGATTTCACTCCTTTTTCGCAAAAAATGGAATTTTGTAACCCCTTTTTCTGTGTTTTTGTCGGCGTATCGAAGTAACAGCTGTTTTGATCTTTCAACTCTTTTTTGTATTAGTGCCTGATTTATGGTATGTCCTGTGTATCTACGGTAAACCCCTAGACCTAAGTCTTGTTTGAAAATTCGAGAAAGTGTCCTCGATGGGATTCTCATTTCTCTGGAAAGTATTTTCTGCTTCCTTATGGGATTTCGAGGAATTCTGGCCTTGACTGCATTAACGGCCTGGCTTGTTCGAATAAACCGCGGTCGGCCGGATCTCTCACCGTCATCAACATACATGATTTTAATGACTTTTGAATGGTATTTTACACAAAGATTCGGCTCATTCCTAATATTTTCGATGTATCAAAAATGTCGGCTAGCTCCTTACCTACTTTGTACAGTATATCGCATAAAGTTTTGACAACACATGGCAAATCATTTATGTGCGTTAGAAACAGAAAGGGACCTAGAATAGATCCCTGGGGAACCCCCATTTTTACTTATGAACTAGGTAATCTAGTACCGTTTATATCGATAGTTTGAGTTCTGGAACTGAGGTACGACAATATAAGTTTGTAGGGCAGAGTCTTTGATATCGTAGTAATTTAGCTTCGTTACCAGTGTACGATGCTCAACGCAATCAAATGCCTTGAATAAGTCACAAATACTCCAAGAGCATTCTGTGACTCCTCCCAAGCCTTGAATATATGTTTTAGAAGTACTACACCAGCATCAGTACTAGAGTGACCTTTTGTGAAACCATATTGTTTAGTATGTATGTAGTAATTTATTAAAATAACAGTAAGACTATAACTGTTAAAGAATTATTTCTTCAAAGATTTTACTTAACGTCGGTAATATTTATATAGGTCTATAATTACTATGGTCTTCCCTATTACCGGATTTAAATAGAGGTCTAACTTAGCTAAGCTTCATAAGATTTGGAGAAATACCTTCATTTATAGAGCGGGTAAAGTAAGGGGATAGCCCCTTACTTGGCTGATATATGATTTTTTAATAATCAGGTGATTTAATCATTCTGCTGATAAGTTGTACGTGCATGATTAGCACCCAGTGCTAATCTTAGACTGGCAATTAATAACGACAAAAGTTAAAAGTTACAGGTTGATCATTAATTTAGTAATACATTAGCATATTTGTTCAATATTACATTTACATTACTAATAAATATTTAATAAAATCATTCGCGGATTCCATCAACTTATCATTTTTTAACCAACTTTAATATCCAACAGGAGGAGGTTATATGTTCGACAGCTAAAAAATAATGGACCCTATTTTAATTTTATCGAAATCGAATCAGTAGATTCCTTTTATAATAAAACAAAATACGCTTTCACCATATATTACCTAAATATTTGGATAGGTATGTATTGTTTTTCGTGTATCTCGACAAAAAGACAAAATATTGCATATTTTGAATTCATTCAAAATCCGAAAGAAGGATTTTCTGTGTTTAATGAGTATTCTTGAATTATTAATTAGTCTATGTTCAAAATATAAATACAGAATTCTGGAAAAAATTATGTCGAGCAAATAAACAGAGTAGCTCGGTGGCGTAGTGGATAAGCGCCGCGGCCCGCAATCGTAGTCGTTAAGCAACTTTCGTAAGGGTCGGTCACGCGATGGGTGACCAAAAAATTATTATCTCGAGCTACTCCGTGCTTCGGAAGGCACGTGAAGCCGTTGATGCCGGCTGCATTTTCAGTCGTAAATACCCTCCAATCCGCATTGGGCCAGCGTGGAGGGTCATAGCCTATCCTTCTTAACCATCCATAAGAAGGCCTGAGCCCCTGCAGTGGGGACGTGAAAAGGGCTGGTGATGAAATAAACAAAATCTCCTATTCTTAGACTTGCACTATGTATACTTTGATTTACATATATATTTAATAGTTGTAGTATTACCTACTAAAAAAATATCAATATCACTTAAAAGCATGAAATAAAATATTTTTATAAAAAATAGAACCGACTTCAAACTTTAGAAAAGTGATAAATAATTCTTATCTGAAAAGCGTCTTATTCAAGAAAATGCAATTGAAGTTCTGCGCCTTTCACTTAATAACCTACAGACAACTTCCGCGCGACTTGAAAAGCAATGTCTTGAATAATCGCTTTTCTAAAAGAATATTTACATAGTTCAAAAAATTAACCAAATCGTAGTAACCGGGTGTGCTGATATAATGATAGACTAATAGATTATTCTGTAACAACATAACAAACGGTTAAGGATTTACGGAATTACCTATTACAGTACACTATTTTTTTTCCTGTGTGCTGCTGATAGTTCATGAACATCTAACAATAACTAAGAGATTTCCTCAGCATCTAAGCATCATGCTTTCTAAAATAAAGTCAAACAGCCTGTGAATAACTCAAACACATATATAATCATTACGGCACAGTTATCAGACCTCGAAGCCTCTGCGTCGGTTATAAATAAGTGATGCACTGTCAACATTAATGAAAATCAACAGAATGTATATCAAACTGGCTTGTTTGGCATTAGTACTCTTCGGTGTTGGTAAGTTGAAATCTAAAGAAATAAACTCCAAACAAACTGTAATTTAATAAATTATAAACAGGCCCGACTTTACCTTTTGTGCAGGGGGTGCAATGCACCCTGGTGCCGCGCGTTGGGGGACGGTGCGCTGATGATAGTCTAATATAAATATGTGTAAAAAGTGCACTGGAGGGCGTCAGAGCACTACTTGCACCCGGGCGCCTGTTATGCTTAAGACGGGTCTGATTGTAAACCCAAGCCAACCAAGCTTAAAGTAGTAATGAATAAGTAACTGAAAATAATAAGCTTTTTTTAACTTACGAAACATCTTGAAGCGTCAGCAACATCGGAGAATCGACTAGTAGGCGGTACCCCCACCACCATACGGGAGTTCCCCTACATAGTGGCAATCACGTACCACTACCCCAGCATAGGATTGACCATCCAGAGATGCGTTGGCTCCCTCGTCTCATCCTGGCACGTTCTGACATCAAGTTTCTGTTTCACGTAAGTACTCTCTAAAGGTAAACAGAACGCTTGCTGTAAGTTGTTACAGCCTACAGCTTTAAACACTATGTGATTAAAAATATATGAAATCAAGCGAGCGCGTCTTTTGGTAATCTTGATGCGTATTTGTATGGGAACGTAAGCGGAGTTACAAGAGTGTACACTCACTGACACTTACCACTCTGAATATCCACCGGCCATTTTACCTGGACGCAGGACGCAATTCATGCATTATCAAATGAATATAACGAAGTTACTAAGAGAAAACATTAACAATTTTATACTTTTATACTAATGACTAATGTCTGTCTCGCTCGCAGCTAAGCTAGGAATAATTTCTTAGCTTAGCTGCACTAGTTTTTAGATATTTGTGACATCAAATTCTTTCTACCCAGCGTCATTAGGACTAGGTAGTACAAGAAAATAACATATTTGATAGACTACATAGAGTACTACATCCTCACTATATAATATTGTTTGTATACGCAGTGGTGCCAACTTGAACAATATGCTCGTACGAGCCGGCTCTTCGTATAGTTTGTCTGGCGGCATAGAGGTGCCAATTAGATCGGTCGTGCAGCACCCCGACTATGAGGCAGCTCCCCGGACTGCGGACCTAGCGGTGGTGTTTCTCGCCAATGCTCTCCCCATTACTGGAGACATCAATGTCCTATTTATACCCGCGCCTGGCACTTACATACCAGACGGGCAGGAGGTAAAGATAGTCAGTTGGGGATTTGAATCGGTGAGTTGAAGAATATCTTTAATTTATTTGGGCATAGAAAGATTTGTGGTTAGAATACCCTTAACACTTTTTACTTTAAAACTTACTACTACAGGAGCCCGGTCCCGGCAGCGTGCAGCTGAATTCCCTGAAAAGTATATTATTGAGCAAAATACCTTTAGATGCTTGTGAGGCGATTTATGAAAATTCCGAGGGAGTCAGCATCGACGAATGTGAGTTTGAACATAAATACAGCCCCCGAACAGAAGTCCAACAGTCTAGCTACCTGTGGTCTAGAACAAATAAGAGTCTGCGGTTGCAATAGCTTCTATAAAACCTACCCGATAAAAAAAAAATATAAAAAAATTGTATTTCAAATGATATTAAAAATCATTTTGAATGAAGTTAAAATAAAAGATGCTATGAAAATAATCTGTAAGTTAAAAAAAAAACAAATACTATTGTATGTATTAAATACACAGGAATCGAACCCGTAGTTCAAGTAAAATTAAAACACTAAGTGTTCCATTTAAAATCCTCGTAACTTTAAGGTTATAAAATATTCGGAATTATTTACAGCATAACCCAGGAATCGAACCTGAGATGTATCGGTTATATAAAATTTTTAGGAGACAAAATTAAATATCAAATCTAAGGTAGAAAAATGATAAAATGTTAATTGTGCGTAGTCTCAGAACTCAGTTTTGTTACAAAATAATTATTTATATTGAATTTTATGAATATACCTATTTAATAATTATTTATATTGAATTTTTGCTATACCTTAAGTATAGCAAAAAAATCTATAATATTTCCTAAAATATCTATTTCACCTTTATTGCAATAGAATAAAAATATTTTCGCACGTTAGGTTAAGAACTACTTCGAACTAGATTCATGTCAGAATTAAATGTTCAATGAAACGTTAAATATTATAAAACAACGAAATACAGTTTGAGAATTCAAAGTTAATAATTGGACTTGTGATTTTGAAAGTAAATTACTTCAAGGTAATGATATGTAAGCGAGCAGTAAAAACTAAAGAAATTAGAACGCTCACCCAATTTTGGGGTTATTTAGCACACACTTAAAAATATTCGATAAACACTTAAAAATGAAGTATTGCCGCGCGAGAGATCGTTTACTCATTTACAATCACAAGTCGCGCTGCTAGGAACGCAGCGCGACTTGTACCTACCTCCATACAATAATCGTTACTAGTGTACTTACAATTACGATATTTTTAATTATTATATTTCTTTAAATATTTAAATTGGCGTTTATTTGTATCAAAACGTGAAAATGAATTAAGCGTATCAGCTAAACATGCGAGAGACAGTTTATTTAGTAAACTGTTACATCACAAAAAAACACCTTATCCGAATGGTAATAAAGTTTTATTTCGATGAAGCTCTATGCTGCGACAGCTCAGTGCTTGAAGTCGAGTTCGAGGCTCTATTTTAACAGAATAGCATGGTAGAAGTTTGTTATCCATTTTCAAAGAGGGCACGTATTGAATTTATGTGATGTCTCGAGTATTTTTTTCATGATCGCTCATCACAACTATCAGTAACGTGTGTATGAATTGTCACGATTTTCTTAAGATCATCATAACGACTGGTCGTACCGTAATAAGACCTTTATGCATTATTGTGATACAAAACAAAATTTTACGTCGAAGACCTAATGGCAAAATCATTATTCAAACCATATTGCATTGTTTCAGCCGTGATTTGCACAAACGCAATAGGCAGAGGTACTTGTTTCGGAGACTCGGGCGCACCTGCCGTCATAGGGGATGTTTTAGTGGGTGTCTCGTCATTTTACCAGGAGTGTGGCAATGACAACTATCCCGACGTTTTGACCAGGATTGACAAATACACGGACTGGATTGTCCAAGTGGCCACCGCCCCTAACAGGGAAGGAACACCTCTAAAAACCGCTAAGGTTTATTGAATAGAGACGAAACTACTATACATTTTATAATGTGTTTAGTAGGTCGACCACCTAACTCAAAACTAGAGCCAAAAGCGCTAGCTATATTATATACTTTTAAAGATAAATGTTTTATTTGTCATATAGTTTATAAGTTATTTATGTATATTTCAGTTTCTGAAATGCCATTGTAGTCATATATTAATTAAGGGGCCGTCCATTACTCACGTGAGGATCGAAAGGGGTGAGGGAGGATACCGTTGAAAAAATGTGGGTACTTAAAAATACACGTGATTTTTTTGGGTTAGTCTTAAACCTCACCAAGGGGGAGGGGGTTAAAAAACATCACGTGATTAATGGACGGCCTCTAAGTTACTAATATAATTAAGAATAAATATATGATATAACAGAATGTAAACGTGTATTCATTGATAAAAACAGTAAATTACGTAAAAATGAAAAACCAATAATTAAATAAAAAATAAATTTATTGATTCAATCTGTTTCATTAATCATAAAAACTCTTACAATATTGTAATATAAATTGGAGACGATTGAAATTGCAGATTGTTCGAGAATATCTTTGGAATAAAATATAATAGATTAAACAAAGTGAGCAAGATCTACCGTTTTACTATTTGTTTTTACAAGGCAAGACACCATCAAAAGGCACTATATAATATTGCATTATCTTAACAACTAGATATGGATATAAAGTTTAAAAATCTTACTAATAAACACATTCAAAGCTCGGTGGTTTCCTTACGAGATTTCAAAAGACAATTATTTATCATCATAATTAAATAACAACATTAACTAAAGTCAGTCCAATCCATGTTAACGCAATGATTTATTACAAAATTCATTATACAATAATAATAAATGGTTAAAATATTAATTTAACTATTAAAAGACAAAAGGAAATTTATTTACAAAAATATCAAGATTCATAATAGTCTAAGTCATATTTTTAATTATTATTGGCAGTAACGGTATAATAATTAAGTAATCTTATAATATATTAAAATAGAATCAAAGTACAACATTCAGAAAATTTGCCACCATAGAATACAACTTATGCCTTGAGCAATAAAATATTAATAAGTAAATATTACACATCCTAAGATAAAATAATATTTTGGAACACATTACACTACCTATAATTTTAAATTACTTACACCTCAAAATTAAAGTAAGTTAAAACTATGACACGTATTGTTTTTATTAATATTAAATAGCTTATATTTTTAATTATGAATGAAACAAGAGAATAGGAATGACGACCGAGTAAAAAAAAAAGAAATTCTATTTAGTTCGTCAGTCAGATAATAGAAAAATATTAGATACGTACTTTTTCTTCAATTTAAACAAGAGATGGCTTAGATAACAGGCAGTAAAGTTGAGGAGTGGACGCTCGCTACGTCACACTTTTGTAGAAAATGTAAAAAAGCGTGACGTCACGGGACACTTTCACTCAATGTATCGACGTAATTTAATGATTATGAAAAAATAAAAAAATACGTGTTTAATATCTTTCAACAATCTACCTGACTGGCATATAAACAAAAATTAGTCGTCACGCCTATTATTTAGAAAAAAGCACAAGTAAAAGAAAGGCGGGAAAAGAGCACACGAATATGTTTCAATGTCGCACGGGTCTTAATTATAAATAAGGCTGCGTGCGCAGCGCATCACTGTTATTGTACCGTGTTCCTGTCATTATTACAAAAGTAACCTAATTATCACTTGTTCAGGTGCGTGCGCCATCGCATCTATTCTCAAGCACGGTGACATCACCAGTGTGCACGTAGCCTTATAAAATTTATTGCAACATAATTACATAATGGATTTTTTTTTCTGAAAATCCATTGTGTTATTTTAGAAAGGCAATATCGAGTAAATAACTTAATCGTATTGATTTTGATATTTAAACACTATGGCCTCCGAATTTGTCCACCTACATCGCTAGTATCATCGTCAGTTGCCATAACATCCTATCGACAAATTGAGTTTTCTAGTTCCTTATCGCTGGTGTACGTAGACACTTAACATTTTAAATATTTGTATAGGCAACGAATTTGCAATTGCATCTGTACGATTATTATAAGAAAGATTATGATTTTATTCTTCGAAAATGTTCTGAATATAGCTCCATGTCACTTAGTCAGTATTGCCTTTCAAATATTGATTTCAATGACGAATCATTAATAATTTTTTGTATATATATTTAGAAATAAAATTTAATATAACATTATAAAGTCAGAATATAAAGATATGCGATTCCCAAAAGGCGTCATAATAATCTTACATTTAATGTTTGATGTCTCGCAGTTAATGATAGGAGTTCACAATTTGGACGGAAGTCGTGCTGGAATACTACGAGGGAAATTTGGTCGTTATTTTTATTCAAACATCGACCACGTTAAAGCTCTTGATAAATAATTAACTTAAGTAGTAAAGAGGTGAACAATTTAGTTATACCAATATAACATAACGCGCGTAGAATTGTACAGTCAACATTACATTAGTTTACAAAAAATATCCTGAGTCAATCAATATGAACCTTAATTTCTTAGTGGTTAAGTTCGAAAATCGATTGAGGAGATTGATATTTTATGGTAAACTGACGTGACGTCGACTGTACAGGACAGCTACTTACAACGGCGATTCCACCATTATTACTATCACAACATATTACTAATATTTTACTATCTATAGTTTAATATAGTTCTCAAAGTTGATTGTCGGGTACGTCTACACAGAGCAATCGTGGGACAAGCACTGAAAGAGGCGTGATATAGCCCAAGCTGCCACACATTCGCTTGGGACATAGACAACAAGGGAACACCGCTAGGATGTCATATCCTATGGCTAGAGTCATGGCTAGAAAGGTCGGCGGTCGCACCATAGGGGCCTATTTTACATTAATTCCAACTCTACACGTACTATCTATAAGCCAATGTGAAACAAACTAAATAAATTAGTAATTATAAATATGATAAACATGCGGCAATGGCAAATTACAAAAAAGCAGCATTTATTTACCATATATATTACCATAAAGTTCAATCGAAAAATCAAACTTATATCAACCAGATCGAGCACAAGATTATGCTTGTATGTATCAACACAAAGTAAAATATTAATAACATTCCGTTATCAATTAATTATTAATACGTACTTTTTGTCACATCGCATGTTAAAATAAGAGCTACCGGACATATAATCGAACATAACAAAATTTATCACCTCTTAAATATATTTAAAAAATCCGTACTTAATATAATACAATTTCTTACTTTACAATGTAACGGATTTACTGACAACACTTTACATATGCTAAGAATCCTACGAGAATTATATTTTATATAAGATAAACACAATCAAGGTAAAATTAATAAAATTTAATATACAATTACATCATATGAAGTGCTGAAGTAACCCTTATAAATTCACTAATTTCGGACATATTTAAACCAACAACACACATTTTGATGGCGTGACATTAATTTCAAAATATATACAGTAAAACACAACTAATTTCGCACACGGATGTACTTGCGCAGAGGGCTGCTAAATTACGAAGCGCGACAAATATCGACCAATGAGAACTATGCAAGTATCACGCCTGACGCCCGCCGACTGTGAGTGAGACGGATACCTAGTGCGTATTTTATACCTTATAGTTATTAAAGCAAGGCTAAATATACATTTTATTTATACGTTCAGTCGTCTGATCTGCGCAAGCGAAGATCAACTATGCTCCATAATTATTGGGTTTTACTATACTCCAACGTTCAAAAATACATACTATAAAAGATATATTACACAAAATTGCTAGCACACTCAATTTTTAATCACGATTAATTTTTATAATATTATTACCTACTTATTTCATTGATTATTTACAAAAATAGCATCAATCAGGGGGGGCACGGAATGGTTTCATATAGTTTATGTTATAAAATGAATTCCGATCAATAAATTATTATAGTTATTTCAACATTTATTCCTATAAAGTTTGGCACAGACATAAATATAGTATTAAAAAAATATTATAAATTTTAGAATTACCGTCTGGCGAAGAATACATATTCTTATATTAATAAAGTCTACAAAGACCTAGAATATAAGCAAATGCTTGTAAAAGTCAAGAGATTCTTATGTTGTTTTTCCCACGAAATATTGGTGTACACCAGAGAATCTTAGATTGGCATCGCTTATTAATAATAATATCTTTAACGAACACTTCAGTATGTATCTACGTATGTTCTTGAATAATGAAGTATGTAAAGTGAAGAGTTTAAAGGTCGGATAAAGTGTAAAATCTTTATCCGATATTAATTTTATATTGTAACCTGTATGTAGTTTTTTCATAGTAAAAATATATAATTATTTCGCATTTGCTAAATTTACATATAGTTTCTGTATACATTATTTTATGATAAAATGTTGGTTCTACACAAACAGTTGATTACAACATGCTTTCTTTTTAAATGTTCTACTTTCTTAGTTTTAGTTATATAGTATACTAGTGGACGCCCGCGACTTCGTCCGCGTGGAAGTCGGTATCCCGTGGGAGTGAGAAGTTTTCCCAGTAAAAAGTACCCTATGTGTTATTCTGATGTATAACCTATATTGCTGTAAAGTTTTATCCAAATCCGTCCAGTAGTTTTTTCGTGAAAGAGTAACAAACATCCATACATCCATACTTACAAACTTTCGCCTTTATAATATTAATAGGATATCGATATAATAGTAAACCTTTCGGCATTGCAGAACAGAATTTACTATCGACAATATAGAACTCGATAAAACAACAGTTCAAATCTATAAATAATACTCAAACAATACTTATTAAGTACAGTCGACGGCACATGATATTATTACAAAGGGTTCAATTTTTTTGTAATTATGTGATGTGCTTATGAGTTAACACAATAATATGGTAATTTCGGCAGTGACAAATAAGTTGCGATATGGTACAAAGACTAAAATTTATTTTTAAATAAACACAGATATTCTAATTTTGAGTCATAAAACTACCTAAAAATACAATTTTGAGAGTCAAAATTTTTTGCCCGTGCATCACGTGACGTGAAACATGGAGTGACGTCACTCCGGCAACATCCGTCACATCTATTTATTACAAAAGAAATTCCTAAATTCTTACATTATTATGTCTTTTTATATTACAGCCAGATCGTCTCGTCTGATTGACATCTTTCAACCGATCATAAAAAATACTGGAAGCGTCTGTTTCGGGAACATATCGGAATGACGTCATGAGTGTCGAGTACCATCAACTATATATCCGGCAGAGAGTACAACCTCAGGTCATCGTTGTCGACGAGTGCGTAGGTGAGGAGGAGGCTGTGTCGCGGCGTGAGCGCGTATCAGTCGGGGCGCGCGTCGGGCGGCTGCACCGTGAGCGTGACGGCGGCGCCCGAGTGCTTGATGAGCGCCACCACCTCGGGGTGCGGCAGGTTGCGGATGGGCAGGTGGTTGATGCCCACGATCGTGTCGCCCACGCGCAGCAGCCCGCAGCGGGCCGCCGGCGAGTTGGGGATCAGTTGCCCTGCACGACGTCAGTGAGATCAGACGAATACGATTGGATTTACCGGAACAGGAGCGCCTGACATTATCACTCGTCGGAAAGAAGAATACTTCACCTTGATCGTGCAGCCCGTCGGCGAAAAAAAAACTTACTATCTCGAGCTTCACGTTAACACCCACCGAACCGCACCGGAGTCGCGTGGTATTGAGGTGCTTACGATTGTAATAATATCTCACCGATAGTGCTGGTGGCCTTGTTGGTGGAGGAGATGACCACGAACCCGAAGCCCTCCCCCTCCGCGCGCGTCACCGTCACGTCGTACGGCGCCACGCCCCACCCGCCCCCGCCCCCGGCCCCCTCGTACTGGACGCCGCCGTACCTTACGACATATTGCTCTAATATTGATATATTGATTTCAAAATGTCCAATCTTTGAAACTATTCTGTTAATTACTTGGTTATTACTGCGTTCAGTCTGTGTAGCGATAATTTATTATCTCGAGCTCCTCTGTGCTTCGGAAGGTACGTTTACCCATTGGTCGCGGCTGCATCTTCAGTCGTTAACTCCCACCGATCCACATTTAAATGACGCACAACCCATTTCTCTATTTTATTCCATCTATAGGGAACAGGGTTCATAATTATTATGACAATTGATACAATGATAATTATCTATAATTACCGGCAATAATATCTATAATTCTTTTTTTTTTTTAATAGTTAAATGCATTCATTATTTATTTAACTTTTATTTTTCTTGTTTTTAAAACAAAAAATAACTGAAATCGCACTTTACAAAAAATTATACGAAAATATAAATAATAAAAAAATATTTCTTAATGAAAAGTAGACTTTTGATATTTTTGTTTTTGTAAATCCATCCTAGACAATGTTCTTCATCAGAAAACCATATTTGATAATAATTGTGTAAATGTGATTCCCTTTTGATAACAAAAAGTCCTAAAATACAAAATAATTATCAAGGTATTTATCAAGATAATAAGTATGTAGACAACTTTTTTATATTTTTGTTATATAGACATACATGAAATATAGTTAAAAAAGTATTTAAAAAAAATATCATTCATATAATAAGTTAAAATCTAAAAATAAATTTAATTTTCAAAATCTCCCGCGTTTACGCCACTTCTGTTATGGTGTCGTTATGACGTCACGGTCCTCTGAAACTAATATCGTTCCATGTATATGACGCAGCCAACTGGTAAAAACAGCCGTTCAATAGGGAATATGCACATTTTTGGAAAATGGTTTTATATGATAATTAACATCAATATTTAACTAAAAAAATACCTGGCACCGAAAAACTAAAATTTTGTAACATTAATCATTGATGAAAATAAGTAATAGCTACGAGCAGTTAAGCACCCGAATTTTTGGCGCGCTCGTCGTGACGTCAAAGTACACGACTAGGGATAGGACATTTTGAACCAATATAGATTTTGCATGATTGATTATTATTCAATTACCCAAATCGATTAACAACTAATCGATTTTTTTAAAGTATAATAAACTTTTTTTAATAAATCATATAATTTACCAAATTGGTGAAATAAAAATAAAAGCCTAAAACATCATCTAAATTGTAATCTGTTGTTTATTTGGCGACTTAATACTTTGATGTTTTTTGCATCGATGTCAACTTTTTGCAACAACGTCATCCCTATACGTGTACATTTTCGTCACATCCGCTCTGACAAGTAGCATGGCGTTTAAATATTTTGAAGTTACTGCATTTCTTTTGCACTTTTTAATAATTATTTTCAAGACGAAAACGAACGAATTTTGAAAATCATTTAGATAGACTTTATTCTAATGCAATAACGATTGTAATAAAATATATTTAACCCTTTTTTGAACCAGACGCATATTCCCTATTCGACGTTCCATTTAATTGGATGGAGTCATTCGATTGCACGCCTAGTTTTCTATTTGAATCAATATGACATTTGGACCGTTCAACACTGATTTGTTGGTTGATCTAAAAGCCGCGAAAACGTTCATTTAGTTTGTTATCTGTCAAAAAAAAAACTCTGAATTTGAGACGATTGCGAAACGTTGGGTCTTTAACTTCTAGCATATCACCCAGTCGCGAATAAGCAGTTTGTTATCATCTTTTTGGTCAGTCCTGTATCTATATCAATTACAAATTCTGTTTTACTTCTAATTGTTCAGCCGTGTTGTAGAACGTTGGGTTCAGCTACTCGGCTGATCGAAAGTCAGCATGTTAATTAAATGCACCATTCAGTTAAAGGCATAGCCGCTCAATTGGTCAGCTGATTATACCGCTTGGTTTCGACATATACATAAGGTTGATTTTTCTAAGTTCTAAGTGAGAGGACCATGACGACACGCTCTGTTCGCGGTCACGTGACAATGCGTATAAAATATTTGTTCTTTCATAATTAATATAGACAATATAATAAGCATAAAAATGTGATTATCGATAATAGTATATAAAACACAACCAAAAAGGAACATGTATTTATTTCCGTTTACTATCTACGCCCATATTATCGACGATAATTACCCTAATAGGGAAGGCCATCACTTCCATCAGTGTATAATATGACTCACATGGGTAGATGAGGCGCGGGAGGATACATCGGCGCCGGGTGTAGTATGTTGTATGAGGCGGGCGGCATGTGATGCACTGACGGTTCACCACTAAAATATATAACAGTATTCACTAAACAAAACATACTATAGTAAGAAGCAGTGGCGTGCACATCATACGTGCAAATAGACACTGCACACCCTACCCGTAAAACCCAACTAAACCTATATTTTTTAATTCTTACATATACATACATTAACGCGATACGAGTATTCACGGACTCATAATCATGATTTAGTTAAGTTAGTAAAAGTGCCATCTATCAAAGTCGATAGAACTACTACTATAACGTTCAAGTGAGCAGAATATTTTCAACCGACCGCTACGCTGGCGCCGCCGCCACCCATGCGGCCTTAAGGTGCACTTCTTACAGTTTAATCGCCATACGCACACGACAAGTCAAAACTCGTGTCTGACGCAAAAACCATTTGTATGTGTGTTTAATTCATGCATGTGTTACGGTTTTGAGAGGCACTGTTTATCGCAACCTGATTAAATTAAGAAGTAATCAAAAGAGTAGCGGTAACGGTTCCAAGGGGACTCCCACACATGCCGTCTCCGTTTCGGTCCACCTCTTCTACAGGGCGGGTCCCACCACAGGTTAGGGGAAAGGCTCAGGAACATCGAGTCTAACCCCCCAGACAGGTCAAGGGGCGTGCAATGCCCGGCAAGCGCTAACATAAATCTCTGCGCACGCCCCTAGCAAGGTGCTGCTAGCTACTTACTCGTGTAGCTCCTAATAGATACAACCTGAGTCTCTTCAAATACAGAGTCTATAGGAGTGATTTCTGGTAAATTAATCCAATGTTATTGTTTTATTGTGAAACACTGGTTCTTTTATTTTCGAAATACAAATACGACGCCAAAGACAACTATTTTTCGATAATTTATGATGCAACGGAGGTAGCTGACCCGCCTCTGATGAATAGATAACTTTCACGGATGTGAATTATAAGAACGATTAGATATTTTCCGAATTTTCGTTAGTGGACAAACAGAAGAGACCTTCAGGTGTTGTATTATTAATAGTACGTAATAGGCCTATTAAGTTAGATGAGATAGTGGTCAAATGCCAAACTGTATGAGATAAAAAAGGCAATTTAAAGACATTTAAAAATAAGCGAATGAGATATCCAAATACTAAAATTAATCGAGACCATTATCAGCAGTGGTTGGAATTAGGTAGAGTTATTCATGTACTTACACTGATTTCATACAGCGAAAGAGTAAAGTGGATATACCTCAAATCCCGAGATTATTTTTAAAGAGCAGAAAAAATCCCGTGATTTTCCCTTTCCCTTTCAAGAACAAATACAACATGACCCCTTCCCCTCTAATTCGTCTACGTTAAATGAATAACCCCTTATCGACCCCGACATGGGCTTCAGAATATCGGAGAAATCTCGACTACTGTAAACTAACTTGCTGTCGTTTGTACAAAGTAAGTAATCTGTTTGTAACACTCACGCTAATAACGTTTGGTGTGGATGCGGAGCGCTCATCGTGGGCAAACCTAGAGGTTGGATATCGGCTCGATTGTGCCGGACGCCGAGTGTCACCTGAAAATAAAAGTATATTATCCAAACTATTAACATCACAAACCCTCCGTGTCAAAATACGACGCGCTAATACGACACGTTCCGGTTGCATTGGCGGGATATAACAAGGTAGTTTGTTATGTTATGACTCATTCTCATTATGTGATTCTTTATAAGAGAGGACTTGTTGCAGCTTTATCAGTGTTTATCCGCAATAAGGTTTCAACTGTTTACCGCATTACACCGAACAAGTATTTACAATGAAGACTGTGTGTGAACCATTCATGCTCCATCTCTCTCTGACAATAGTGATAGCGTTGATGACATCTGACAGTGACTCACGTGCCCCCTGGCGGCGGCCTGGCACACGTAGTGCACGGCGCGCGCGTGCGTGGCGCCCGCCAGCGGCACGCCGTCCACGGACGTCAGCAGGTCCCCGGGCCGCAGCAGACCGTCCGCCGGACCGCCTGGGAGGCCATGCAAACTTTGTTAATTAGCAATTAGCCTGTTACTATGACATGCTTTTCGCACCAACGCTGCCACATATCGACGCTGGAAAGCAAACACGTAATAAAAACTTTTATTTTTTTCGGTAAATAATTCTTATAAACTTCCATGATAACCAGTGGTCGGAATTAGGTAGAGTTATTCATGTACTTACACTGATTTCATACAGCGAAAGAATAAAGTGGATATGCCTCAAATCTCGAGATTAATTTTAAAGAGCAGAAAAATTCCGTGATTTTTTAAATAAAAAGTTATTTACTTTTACACAATTTAAACTGCTGCACGCACGATGTTGCCAAACTTACATAAATGAAAGAAAGAAATAAATAAAAAAGAATTAAAGAAATCCCGGGAAGGTCCACATTATAATATCAAAATTTCGATGCAAGTATATAAATAACTCTACCTAATTCCGACCTCTGATGATAACAAATGTTCCTTAGTCAATTTATACCGAAATAAGATTAATATTTTTTGGAATATACCGATCTTCCCCTCTAAATATCCATTTTGGCTTTGCAGGTCACTACGTGTTTGCTTTCCAGCGTCGATATGTAAACTTTAAGGCGCTACGATTATAGCATACGCGACTGCCGCTTTGATCTATAGTGAACAGTCGTTTACCCGGCACGACGTGCCCGACGGCGACGCGGCTGCCGTCCTCGGTGCCGCCCACGATGCGGAACCCGAAGCCGGCCCCGCCCCGCGCCAGGCGCACCGTCACGTCCGCCTCCGGGTCCGCGCGCCCGCCGCCCGCCTCCACCTGCACACCGCACATACAGTACACACCGCTACAGTAAGCATCGCTACAGGACAAAGGTTTCGCTGTAAAACCACACCCTCCTAGTGAGTTCTCCCGTAACGTAGATCAGAAAATTTAACAAATCTATTTGACTAACTTTCCGCAGGTGGCTTCGCCCTTGTGGTTTTACATGTTGATTACTCCGTTAATAGCCGTTAATTCAGATTTATTTTTTAAAAAAGAGTTACAAACATCCATTCTCGCGTTCCTGTCTAATTTTACATTTATATTGTAGCAGGAAAGGATACTCTCATTCTACTTTAACTTTACGATCTCCGGTACCTTAAAAATGACGTCATTCATAGAGACCTTTAATAGGCCACTATAATAGGCAATTTAAAAAAAGGAAGAAATTCCCCATTTAAACCTTCGATTTAAAAAAAGCATTAGTTCCCGAAATCAAACTAAATGTCGCTACAGTACTTCCTTGATTTCTCCATGACAACTCTTCCGGTTTTCTTTCATGTATAAGAGTAAATTAATCTTCAAAACTCAATAAACAACATATATTCTATTTATACTTTTTCATATTTATATTGATATCTTAGTTTCGAACTTTGCAAATTTCAGTTTATTAATATGTTAATCAAAAGTAACGGAAATTACTATCTTTGGTCCATTCGTTTCCTACAAAAATCTACTTTTAGTAGAATCACCTTCTAATGAGATACTTTTTAGTACTTTGTTCTTTTCTTAAAATAATACTTCCCCATTAAATGAAAAACTAAATACAATATTCAAATTTCTTACTAAATAAAAAATTTTCTTACTAAATAAAAAATGGTCTCGATTTTGGTGTGGCGAGGTAGTATCAGTTGCATACCTGTGGGTAGTTGGCGACGTATACAGTGTTCTGTGGTTGCACGCCGTCCTGGTAGCACGGCGACCGCCTCGACCCCGGCGACTCCATGTGTCTGGGCGGTGATGAATCACGCAATCTAGCCGGCATAACAAACGACATACACCAATCGGATCATGTTTTGGCAACATTATAAGTATTGAGCGATATGGTGATTCGTTTATGTAATGGGCGGTTCCCTTAATCTGGCAAGATCACGATGTTCCAAAATTCATTAAGCGTTATCTTTTTAGATGAATTTCTTATGGCATTTAAATCGAATGGGCGATTATTTGTATGCATTTGTATGCAGCATGCTATTAAGATAGCGGAATTTTAATTAGCCTAGTTGTACCTGAGCGGTGATCCCTTGACTCGACTCGTGGAGGAGTTATTAGATGGTGATTGGCTCTGAAGTCTTCCTGATGGTGAATTGCCTAACAGCCGATCTGTGGCACTATTAGTCGAAGGCGAATGGCTGCGTAGACGATCTGATAATGTAATAGAACAAATTAAAATAATAAATAAAAAATATTAGACAATATTTATGGGGCATACATATCTGTGTAAAAGTCACGTTAGTTACATTTGTGACTCAAAAAGGGCACGGCGAATTCAAATGAACTTGAGTTTATTAGATTTTCATTGTCATTGTTCGGAAAAGCTTTTAATAAAAATAATAATTTATCAACAAAAACAAACTCCATTTTTTGGTGGTTCGTCCCGGCCGGGTCAACGTAGAAAACGAAATGTTCTATAAAGTTTCGAGTGTGAGTAGTGTGTATAGATATGTACACACTCCACAATACGAAGGCATATAGCCTTATCTCGAAGTATAGCATTTTTCTATGATTTTATCTAATATTTACCGATTATTTATATATCAATCTGCATAGGTGTAACCTTTGCTACCTATGTTAATGCAAATATGTTATACCTCGTCGTAGAATTACCTGTCGAATTTGAAGGTGAATGTGGTCCCATTCGACTAGTGGACGGAGACTGTCGATGCGCGAGTCCACCTACAGCTGCAGTGGTGGGGGAATGGAGCATACCGTCTTCTGGGAAACCTACAGGTACAGGTATAACATTTTAAAAGTCTCTTTGTTATCGTTTGTTGTGTGAAAGTTGTATTATATAAATTTATTAAATTGTGTCGTACCTCCGTTATCGCTGCTGTCGGCGACACTAGCATTCCCCCTCCAGTAGGCGGCGTTCATGTCGACGTGTACAGTGGGCGTGGGCACTTCCCCCCAGTTGCCGTTGGCCCACCTGTCCTGGTTGGCGTCCCAGTTGCCGTTCGCCCCCTGGTCCCAGTTGTGCGCACTCTCGGCCCAATTCCTGACGTTGGAGTTGTCCACCCAGCCGTCCCCGTCGGGCCAGTGGGCGTGGCCCTGTGCGGGCACGTCCACCCAGGGCGTGACGGCGGGCAGCGTGAGGCGGCCGCCGGGGGTGCTGCTGCGCCTGCGCCGGTCGATCAGCGACTCGCGATCGCGCCCCTTGTGCTCGGGCACTGCGTACGTCACTTCTGTTGTCAATATATGTATATTAGTTAAAAAAAAAATAGCTAGATTTACCTCAAAATTTAATTTTTTACTTATAGAAGCGATTTTTATTAATATATTTATTTTCTATTATCAAATTATCATTCTTTGCCAGTCAAAAGCAATGACATTGGTGGAGATCCATATACAGATATACATAATTAAAATACAGATCTGATATACGTTTATAGACATGTCAGATTAGAAAGTCAGGAAATGCGTTCTCGTGCTGTTGAATACTAACTTATTCGGAGCATTATGTGCGTTCTGAGGTAGTGCAATCTGTGCAAGTAATTTTATAGTAATCTTTTCAACCGACACTTTCATTTAATACATATATTATGGGACTAACTAGTCCACTGTGTAAGATTTGAAATGATGTACCTTAGCTGACTGTGTCCTGTTGTTCAATAAACTACCTCCAAGTGTAACTAATACGCAAACTTAGTGGGTTGTATTTTACACGTTATGATATTAAAACAAGATTGATCTATTATTATCAATAAATCAGATCAGTGCTATGTCACATTGATTTTGATTGGATCAAAGAGAAAATTACTAACAATCCATCAGTCTCACTTTGCTACTGGAACTTTATCAAATTTCAGAGGAAAACAAAAATTTGTGTGTCGGTGAAAAACCGTTTAAAAGTAATCGCTTTTAAAAAGTTTTTTTTATACATAAATTACGTTCCGTTCCATCACAAGCAAATGGTTAAACTCCCATCACGGTGTCCTGAAACTTTAAGTATTTTTTTTTATAACATTATAAGCTTTTAAATAAGTTACAATGTAACTGACCAGAGTTCATTCCGTTGTGCAAATCGTGCATGTGTTCCTGCGCGTGTAGTGATGAGGAACGCAGCTGTTCCGCAGTGGGGGTTTTGCTTCTGCCCATTTGGTTACTGGTGGGAGCTGTGCGGAACAATATACATAATATGATGAAAATTTATTGAAATAACCATCACACTGTGACCTGCCATTAACGTCTCGGGAACTGACATAAACTATACTGTCTACTATAATTATTTGAAGATGGATCTATTTATTTTCTAATGTACACAATTTCAATACTAGAAATAAAAATAAATTACCGCTCATTATCACTAGACTTCAAGAAGTTAATAGTTTATTCATGGATTTATGTGTACGCTTTTACAGGAAAGTTTGAAATAGATCATATACATGTACATCTACATACATACTACTAGGCGGCCGATTGTATAGCAAAAAAAGCTTGAGATGTTTCAACCATATCGATAGGTTATTTCTTTTATACTTATTAGATTTCCAAATATGGATAAGAGGTCCTGCATAATTTAATAACTTTAATTATACAATACGTACACCTCACCCTCGCTTATTTATTACTGTGTATATGATTTCTTCTCACAATTTAGGTAAGAAGAAATAGGCGTTAAGCGAAAAGGCCGCAATACATAGTAGTAGACAATTTTTTATATATCTTTATTTTATAGTTATACATGAAATATATCTTAAAATAAATAATATTCATATAATAAGTTAAAATCTAAAAATTTCTAAGGCGAAAACGCCACTTTATGTCATGGCGTCGCTATTTTCGCGGGAGGTTGAAGTTTTTAAACTGTGACATGAGTAAGAAGGGCGGCCGTCACGCGCTGCTGGCGGTCACGTGACAACGAGCATAAAATTGTTTATTCACAATTAGTTTAAAAACAAAATAACTTAAAGAAAAACAAAAAACCCGAATGCGTAAAAACGAATTTTAAAAAATACATGAAAAAGTTACTTAAATAAAAAAACAGACTGCATAAAAACGAATTTAAAAAAATACATTGGTAAAATTTGAATATGCCCCGACTGTGAGTCGTACTATTCTGTATTACTTAACAGAATTCTAAACTACTGGGCTTGTTTCTTTCTTTTAAGTTTTTATTTAAGTTAATTTTTTCATGTAATTTTTTAAATTCGTTTTTAACGCAGTCGGGTTTTTTTGTTTTTCTTTAAATTATCTATTTTTATTTTATACTTTTTAGTTACGATTCGTTGACTTATAAGATGGCAAATATCGCAATCTAATCATTTCATTGAGGGAGTTAATATCGTGGGGATTATTAAGTAACTTGCGGTGGTCTAAACTACTGATGATTAGTCCCTCTAGAGACCTAACTCGGCTCAAAGCTACAAATGCTTTATTTTTTTTACCAAAAATATTTGTTCTTCATGCTTTTTCACTGTTTTTTTTTGTTTGCATATCGTTTATACTTTAAATAAAAACAAATCAATAAGTAAGAAAATTACCGATAATGTTTTGTTAAACAACTTTAAATCGTTATATATCCTAAACCATTATTTAAAATGATAAAAGGAACCTAAAGATAATTTTAAAATACCTATTCAACGACACCCCACTTGACATAGTTCATCGATTTTTATTTTTTTCATTTTGACAATATGGCGTCTGGTTGTCGCTGTGGTGAATTTTGATTACTGTCATGTCTTTAGTGACACTCGCAAGGTTAAGACGAATCGATTGACGTAAGAATCATCAAAATCGGCCTACGCATTTGGTCTCTAGAACGCCACATAGAAACAAACATAGACTGATAAACACATTACCCTCCTTTGCGTCGCGCAGTTGGGTAAATATTATAAGTATATAAGTGTGACTTTCGGTAATAGTATATTAATTACTACCAGAAAAAAACTGTCTCGACTTGTATTGAGATTTTCGTATATATATTTATTATAAACTAGCTGACCCGACAGACTTCGTCCTGTCAAAAAGATTTGTAATGTGGCAGTTTTTTTGCCTACGTATTTAAAAAAATTCTGATGCATTTTATCTCGCGTGCCGAAACTAATACAAAAGAAACGCGAGTTTCGGAACGCGACATTAAACTCCTCCAACTATGTATTCTGTGCTCCAACGCACACACGCACATTGTTTTGATAGATATGATCTTTGACGTTAGGAACACACCTACATTGCTTAGACAACAGTGAGTACTTGTAATTTAATATGAACTTTATACCATAGCAATAAAGCTCAAATTGACTACGTTTTAGTTACAAATCATTTGTATGGGAAAAAGAAAAGGGCTATTTTTAGGGTTTTTCCAGCAATAATTCTAATTTTTCTCGCCGTAAAAACCATCCTTGAACTTCAACGAACATTTTAAAAAAAGATTTGGCCAAATTGGTCGAGGCGTTGTTGAGTTATGCGCTTACCAACACATTTTGCGATTCATTTTTATATATATAGATAAATAAATACCAGCGTGGTCGAGTGCGTGCGCGTGGGCGTGGTGCGCGCGCGAGGCGGAGCGGGCGCGCGGCGGGCGCGCGGGGCGGCGCCACACGCGCAGCTGCGTCGACTGCAGCGACGGGCACTCCTTCAGCACCTGTACACACCGAGAATACACTCGGAAACTGGGAGGATTTTTTAAATTATTTCACCTATCGAAAACTCCATCGACCGCAGGTGAACGGCTAGTTCGTTTGTACTTAAATAGGCAAATTATGATAAACTATCTGTTCCCACGCCTTCGCCAGTGCAGTATATTGCAGTATATATTTTCTTCATCATAAATTAAATTAACTTTCTTTTTGTAATTTGTGGCTCGATCGCACCGAGACCCGGGCGGCCGAGATAAGACGAGTGTTCGTTTACTCGAGTCTTTACATTAAAAAACCTCAATACTGTGTATGGCGCTCCATTAACACATACGGAGTAAAGGCTTCCATATATAATTAACATAACGTCGCAACGGGGACTTAGGTTTATTAAAATAAGACGTTCCGCCTCCAAATGTCACGTGACTGATAGATTTCGAGGACATTTCAAATTAATAAATATGTTTTCATTTATGCAATAGCAACTTTAAAAAAATACCTATTGACAATTTAATTTTAAATTACTTTTTCCAAAAAAAGGTATTAAATTTTAACGTTTAAATTTTACCTGTACGACATGTTGATGAGGTGAATGTCTAACATCCGTATCACCGATCTGCAACAGGAGATCACCTTCACGTAGCCCAGCACATCTGCTTCTGTCTAACACCTGTGAAATAATACATTTTTTACAACGTAATTCTAAATCTTGTATTCAGATTCTTATTTAATAATACAGTAAAGTTCAATTTAGTCAAGCAGTTACTTGTATACATAAAAATATACACAACTACATTTCTTTTTTTTTTCTAGGCATATCAAACAAAATTTCCTCATAAAAGAAAAACTAACAAACAATTAAAAAGAGACATTGAAAAAAAAAACAGTGGTTCGATTATTGTAGAGAAAAAAATACTTATCTCAAGAGCGACTTACTTATTCAACAAAATGCAAGTTATTAATTAAATGATAGGTGCCCTGTAAGCCGCTTTTGAATAAGTATTTTTTTTTTGTATCATGCTTTTTAATGACAAGTACTTAACATTAAAAATATTAAATATCTATATAAATAAAAATATTTAACAAAGTGAAAGTGTTAGAAAAGAATATTTTGTTTATTTGCTCGACATATTTTTTTACAATAACTCTATACTCATAATAGAGGAAAGATTTGATTGCTTCTTTGTTTACATTAGATAGACGCCGAGACTATTGGAACCGATTTATTTTAGTCTTTCCTCTACGGGAAGCTATACCTACGTGTACATTGACTATAATTTATCTACAAAAAGCTACAACCACGTGTACATTGGCTAAAATTACTACGTGGACATAGGCTTTAATTTACTCAGGCGAAGTTGCAAAGAAACAGCTACTTTGATAGAAATAGGTTCACAATTCAAGAATAGCCTTTGAGGGTAGAAAATCCTTTCGGATTTTGAATGAATTGAAAAACTTTGAAAATTGACCGAAAATCTTGTTTTGGTCGACAATATCGGTAAACATACATAAAAAAAAAACATACATCGCCATCGAACTCACGTTTATCACGTTTTTCTCTTATATAACATTTTTTCCGCCATTAACTTAGAATAGATCTAAGTTTCACCAGTTTCCACTGACCTTCTTAACTTTCTGTCCGTGGACGCTGTCCGCTATAGTGAATCCGAACCCAGCGGCCCCCCTCCTGAGAGTGAGCACCAGTTCTCGACCCTGCTCATTATTGTTCACGCTGGGGTCCCGCGAATGATGCTCCCCTGTACATATAAAACAGCACTAAGTTAATTAACATACAGCAATACATCGTGTGAAATTCCACAAACGATTTAAAACTCTATTTTCAACGAAATTTAGTTGAAAACCAATGACAGCAATGTTAGATTTCACTCTCACTAGGTGTAATTGTATGTCAAACACACAGAACATTTTAATTTGATTTAAGTAGCTTATTTTAGTTTAAATAAGCATTAAAAAATATTTCTAAAAAATATACTCGTTTTTCAAATTAAAATTTAAACTTTATATCCGCGAAAGCACCGTCCTACACATTCATGACGTAATTTGGGTATGTATACCAAACTGACGCATAGAGTATGTTTAATACATGTCAACCAGATAACAGTGCCTGCCTTCTAACAATTTTACTATAAAACAAAAATATTTAAGTGAGACAAGAACTGCGCCATCTTGTTTTATCTGCTATAAAATTAATAGCAGAAATGTTTCTGCCGATACTTCGTTACATCATAGCTGGTCACGTGATACACATATAGAATAAAACTTTTAATTTTACTGAAAATCAGAATATTTATGTAAATTTAACATTTTTATGGTCTTTCGTGACTTATTTTTTACTACCGAAACTACCATATAGGCGTTGTTGTTCAAAAGACTTGAAAGATTCAACTCCAGATCAATAATCCACGCGGGTGAAACCGCAAGCGGATTGCTAGTGTATGATGTTGTGGTTTAATATGTATTACCTAAGGCGAGGATGTCGGCGGAGGAGCATCTTGCGGAGGGCTCCATGTAGGGGCCGTCGGGTTCATCTAGCGCGGGGCTCGCTTCATGCTTCGGAGACTCCAAGTTGAATCTGACAACAATGTGGTTACAACAGTATAGTTATGGAACCTAGCTGTTACATCTGTACCGTCGACAAAAAAAATATAATAGTATTTTTACCGGAATAATTTTGTAAACGTTAAAGGTGACTCGGCAAAACATGTGCGATCACAGCTAGAATTTTATTGCGTTCGTTACCGTTGATCATATCGACGCTGGAAAGCAAACACGTAGTAACCAGCAAAACCAAAATGGATAATAAGAGTGGAAAATCTTTATACCAAACAAGAAACATCTTATTTCTGTTAAAATTTACTAAGGAACACCTTTTTTGTTACCATGGACAATTAAAGGAATTATTTATCGAAAAAAATAAAAGATTTTCTACTCTGAAGAACAATTTTGGTTGGTTCCAGCGTCGTTATTCACTTTTTTCACCTTCTTTTCTTAATCTTTTCTAACGTATACGTTTTAGTAGGTGAAGAAGAATACAGATGTGTATTAACACGTTGCTACTTAGAATATCCAAACTGACTGATTATATTATAAAGAGGAAAGATTTTATAGATTGATTCCATTAAATAGGCTCCGAAACTGATTAATTCACCTATAGGAAGCTACGTCATGCGCGTGATATAACCTATAATCAATGTTAAGTCAATAAACGACTTTACTACCTGGTCCTCAAGGCTCTGGTTAGTTGTTGCATCGCCACCGCGTCGGCCGTAGGCGGGGCATTAGCTTCCACTGCTAGTGTACTCAACACGCGAGTGTTGGGGTCTTCGGAATCAAACGACAGTGGATATCCTGGAATATGGCAACACTATTACAATGAAGCGACCGATATAGTTATCTCACCGATACCGAATAACTGTAATGAGTGGTGACCTCTGACGACGTGCAGTGTGACGTCAGTGCCGGGCGCGATGGACTGGAACGTCTGCGCGACCTGCGCGTGCGACAGCCCCCGCACCGCGCACCCGCCCACCCCCACCAGCACGTCGCCCGGCTGCAGCGCACCTGCCCGACCAAACGATACAAGTTACTCGTACGAATTAACATGACATCCGAGAGCCCCGATTCTATTTGTCCTCCAACGACGGTTATAAAAGTTTCAAATTGTTCTAATTGCCTGGATTGCGGAAAGTCATAGATTTGAGTCCCACCTCTGGGTGTGGATATTCAAGCATTTTTCATCAAGAAGATTGATCAAAATAGAATAATTGTTCTAGTAATGTTGTTTAAATCATATCCATGAAGATTATCTGTGTGTCAGACGGTGTCAGCTCCTGCCTTCCTTGCAAGATCAATAGGGATAATGACTGTTTTTTTCAACTTATGGAGAAATATCTGATTCATGTTAGAAGGAAAGTGGAGAGAACACCACCTTGGATTACATCAGCAAACAGGTCAGTCCAGTCGGAAATCGATGATCAATTCGTACGTCTTGCTGGCGCTCGCGAATATAGGAAGAGAAGCAGACAAATACAGTAAATGAACACCCTAGCTGGGAAAGAAGAGCAAGTCAACTAGTCAACTGTATTGAATGCGTTAGAAAAGTCCAGAAGTACTAAAACAGTAAGTCAAGAATCTTTCTTGCCATCCCGTATATCTTTTACAATCTTTATGAACGCAGTAGTGGTACTGTGCCGAGGCCGGAATCGGAATTGAATAGGAGAAAGCAGTGGGTTGCGGTAAAGGAAAAAAGAGAGTAGTTGCTGAACAGCTGTCTCGAGTATCTTGGAAAGGAATGGTAAGATAGAAATTGGTCTAAAATGCAGCAAGGAGATGGGATTAGAAACCTTGGATAGAGTGATTATAAATGCCCTAAGTATATTTATTATGAATTATGACTGCTATTGAAATCGTAATCTGTTGATTTTTAAGAACGGCTTACCATCAATCCAAGCAGGACTATGTGGAACGATACTCCTGATCTGCAAGTAGCCCTCCGCCTCTGGTATGCCTTCCGCGCCGATGAGGGTGAAACCGAGACCCTAACAACAACAAAATATTTTATATAATACCATTTCGCACGAGTAAGCAGCTAAGTGAAATATTTTTTTTAATCGATTCAGTAGTTTCAGACTGTTCGATGAAAATAAATAAACAAACGTACAAACAATCTAATGTCAGATAGGACACCGATGTTAATATAATTTTACTTTTGAGTTGCAAATTTCTTTGAATATGGATAATGGTACACAATAATTAGAGATATTACTACTGAGTAGTGATGTGCCGCATCGTTAAAAATATATATCCGCGGATACGGATCCGAATACGGATATTTGGTGTCAAGATCCGCGGATACGGATCTTTATTTGCTTACTCAATTGCCTTGAAACGATAGTTGACGTCACGCCCGTCGCGAGAGGCAGGACATGTTTGGACTTGTATTTTGCGGGTATTACTTTTGTTTGTTTTATTTATTGTTTAGTGTGTCACTGAGCCGCGTAGAAAACGTTTGTGTATGCCTTTAGTACAAGAGTTAAAAGGGACGCAGTATTAATTTACTTCATTAGAATAATCATTCAATTAGAATTTATTTTTAGTTTTCTCATCATCTCATAGTTATAAAAGTAATCTTATAACTTTATATTATATTGATCTCATTATAATTATAAAAAAGATTTAAGTGGTTTTGTCACTTTCTTATATTTATAAAAATGATGTTATAACTTTATAAAATATTGATCTTATTATAAAGATGGTTTATAAGTTATGTACTACCTTTACCTTTGAGTTATGTACTATTGATATAGGTAGTAACTTACTACGATAAATATTTGCAATACAAAGGTGTCAAATATTTGATTTTAAGAAATAAAAAATTCATGAATTTAATAGTTTTTTAAATCTACCTTATCACCTATATGTAGCATTTCATCCTATCAGTTGAAAAATAAGTTAAAAGATCCGCGAGAATAAATATACGGATACTGATCTTTCTTTTCCGTCGGATATCCGAGGATACGGATATGGATATCCGGAACATCACTACTACTGAGTTGTCATTAATAGACTGAAGGACATATTTAGTATCAAGTGGGCGAGGAAATGCAAAATATATCAATATCAAATTACATGTTACTACATATTATACCTGTGGTCCTTTGGTCAGCGTGAGAGTAAACCGTTCTCCTCGAAGTTCACTAGTGGACGATGATCCGTTGACTTGGTTGTTCGCACTATTCTCTGCTGCAAGCTTTTCTGCTACAATATTTATTCAATCATTTATTTAAATTAAGTCAGGGCGGCTCAACAGTTTCATATCAACAAGGAAATATTTATGTACGCACTGATTTATAAATTGATCGATGAATAGGCCTTGGATCATATGCTATTTTTTATAAATAACTAGGATCAGGAGGTGTGAAGAATTTTTCATGTAAGTTTTCTGTGCAAACAATTGAGGGAAATAACGCGGGAAACAACTAGTAAAAGTAAAATAACAGACTAGTAAAGACAAAGACGAATTGTTAACAGTCGATTGAACGTATTAATGTAAGATATTACATAGGAACATGCACGGTACACGCAAAAGCAATTGCCGTAGGCGTAGTGTAAGAACATGCACTTCCATATTTACATAAATCATACTTATATGTTATATGAATTGTACATTGTAAAACATGTTTCGGTGCACGTCATGAAAGAACGTCAGGACTGACAAATATATGATGTGATATTCAACTTTGCATCGATCTCTGACCCGTCGCTTAATAACTCATAATTCCAAGACGCTTGACAAATCCTCCATCGGATTCGCTCCGACCAACGTATACAAAAATACTAACTTTATAAAAACAAATAATTGTCTTATAATATTTTTTATTAAGAAGTAGTACTTATATTTCAACTGTGAAACTATGATATCTTGCAACTAATACACACAGATAGATTTACGTGTACAAACGGCAACAAATCTCACAAAAATCACCATTCTTTTGTATCTCATACACATGCGAGCATCCTTAGTAGTTATTACACATAACAGTGATTTTTGATGAAATCTCGCTCACATTTATAATTTTTAAGCTCATCGAGAAGAGATTCAGATATCTAAAAGTAAAATCACCTCGTAGTCTCCTGGCTTGCAGAACTGGATTCTCATACTGTGTCCTCCTATTGATATGGTCAACATAGTAAGAACCATATCTTTCGTCGGTCACTCTCTCCCATCCGTAAGGTAGTTCGTCTTCACTGCACTCTCCGAGGGAATGTTTACGTACTCTCGCTAACCTGGGATCGAGCCAGTGGGATGTGCCTGTGTTGTTGCTGAAATATCAAAAATCAGAGGAATGAGAAGCCATACAATAAAAATATAAATTTTCTTTTAAACTAATCAAATTAAGTCAAGCAAAGGATGCAGTTATGTACAGGGTCGAAATGTTTAGAGTATTTTTTTTTATTGTAACAATAATTCTCTATACTACATGTGCTGTGTTAGATTTTTTTCACATAATGTTCCTGAGATTCCACTTATGCGTATTACAAAAAATAAATAGGCAAAAATATTGTTCGTATTACCATACATTTGTAAGTTAGACAAAAACAGCATTTAGTGCAACTTCAATGGAGTTTGCTCACTATATTTTTTTAGAATGTGGTGATAGTGAACAGATTCATACTGAAATACATATTAATATAATGTCATTTCTATGGAGATGTTAAATAACAATTAATAAAATAAACTCTTAACATGTATATTAACAACATCTTAACAGCAGGTTTATTATTCTACTTAATAGTGAAAAAAAAAGTTCATAGATAAGCCCAAAGCAACCAAGCCTAGTATTAATTTAGCTCAATAATTCTTAAGTCGATTGTGTGTGTTCAATTAGTTACTTTTAAATATCACCTTTCTGTTTTATTTCTTAGACACATTACTGAAACATCATCACTTTTCCTTTAATATATAGAACAAATCACAGCAGGTTATCCTGCACAGTTCACCCATTATTTCCCATGTGGTTAGTCAAAGTAGCTAAATTTAGATATATTTACTTTACAGCTCAGTTATATTATTAATCAACCATTGTAGATGTGTGGTTAGTATCAGGTCTTTAAAGTAAATCACACATAAGCACACATAATTTATTCCTTGGCTTCTCAACTTCAGTTATGCTTGTACAGCAAACTTAAACTCATTAGTTGTAAAATTTTCCTTTGTGTAATGCTCCTATTTTGGGATATTCATCGCCGACGCTGACGCGAGCAACCCTGGAACTAGTCGATCAAGGTCCATGAACGGCTTCGTATCGTCGACGGAAAATCTCTCAACGACCCATCTCTAGTTTCAAACAATTTACCGAAGTTAATTCTGCCAAAATATTGGTCAATTTAAGCATGAGACATGATTATATTAATCGATTTACCAATGGTAATTCAACCAAGACAACCAACCACTTTAGCCGTTTGATAATTCTGAACTTTTGGTCCAAAGCGAATCAGATTTTTAACTCGGACCACAGCTCAGAGCCTGACCAAAGAGCTAAAGTAAATAACTGGAATGGTTGGTTCCCAATCCCATATTAAGTTTACTTTAAACGGCATATTACTTATACAATCTAACGATATAAACTGATACCGCGATGCATTAAATGAACAACGCCATCTAGTTTGCAGACTTAAAACTATTCGGGCACCTATAAAGATGATGGGCGTGTTTCATATTAATATCGACCAACATGTTGGTTGAATTAATCTTTTTCATAACAATATTCAAACAATATTCTCGCAATAGAAAAGTGAATTTGATAAGTTTGTGTGGATTTAACAAAGTCACTCTTTGTTGGCACTCGCTTTTCTTAGTTGATTCATATAAGACAGTATTTAAATCAATCAGAATTTGATTATTATTTTAGCAAATACATTGTTAGTAGCATGAACAGCTTAATTTTAGTTAGTCCAATAATGTCAAGTAGTTACGATTAATCATTCATGTTTTTGAATTGACTATATAGTCTTTGTTGTTTGAAAAACAAAGGGTTTTTTTGGTTCTACTAACGTTCTTTGTTAAACCAAATACGAGAACTTATTACTGCAACAATAAAAATTGTCTTATCTATTACTTTACCTATTTATTTTGATTAATTTGTATAAATTGCTTCAACATACTTAGTTGTTAAATTTAACTATTAAAAATAATCGATTCACACAAAAAAAATACAGTAATGATAGATACGATAAATATATTAATTGATAGAATTAATCAGGGTTACCAAATTTTTAATTTAACCATACTTTAACTAGTTGGTTCAATGTTTCAGCTTTGGTTGATTTATGTAAATAAGTAATTGTTTTATTCAATATTATGTCAACCAAGAGAAAATCGCTCTTTGTTGGCCTCCATTTTTTAGAGTGCTGTCTCCCTTCTACTATCTATACGTTGCCAGGTTTTAATCTAATTAGAAAAGATCGTAACGTCGGTGGGGGTGGAGGTGTAGCTATTTATCTCCGTTCGCACATTCCTTTCAAAGTGATAGATATGTCGCCTAATCCCCCACTAGCTAACGCTGGCGAGCATCTCTTCTTGGAAGTTCTACTGAGACATACGAAAATTCTTTTAGGTGTATACTACTGCCTGTCATCACGCATTAATTTCTTTCTTCGTTTGAAACTACAGTCACACTATCATGATGGGCGATTTTAATACCTGTCTCCTTAAAAATGACTCTCGCACGGCAAATCTTCGATCTGTCTTACAATCTAATGGTCTACACATGCCAACTTTACATGCTACGCATAATTTTCCAAATTGTTCTCCTTCTCTGTTAGATCTTATTATGGTTTCCTCTCTCCAACACGTCGCTAAACATGGACAATTTCTGGCTGATGCCTTCTCATATCATGATTTGATTTTTCTCTCATATAAAACTCGTCCACCGAAGGCCAAGCCTGCAATTCTGTTACAGCGCAATTTTAGTGGCATCAACCTTCATAATCTTCGCGATGACGTAATTAAAACTGATTGGTCGCAGCTTTATAGTTGTGAATCTGTAGATGGAAAGCTTCAGTTATTTACATCGGCCCTCACTTCTTTGTATGATACACACGCACCAATTCGTTCAGTCGAGATGAAACATCACCCATCACCTTGGCTCACGGAAGATATCAAACGATTGTCCGAGCGTAAAGCTGCTGCTAAAACGAAATATAAATGCCGACCTACCGCTACTAACTGGGAAAAATACGTAAATATCCGCAATCAATGTAATAAGGTGTGTAGGAATGCACAACGCCAATTTATTCATACTTCGATTGAAAATGGAAATCCAACGAAAGTTTGGAAATTTCTGAGATCCATGGGCATTGGTAATAATCACCAAGAACCCTCGGTTTCGAATTTAGATATTAACTTACTCAACAATCCCTTTTGTTCTTCACATGGTTTCGTTTCAACAAACAAGTTGAATACTTTGAATTTTCTGTCATCTCTTCCATGCCCTAATTTTTCTCCCTTTTCTCTTTCTCAATTCTCCGACTGTGATGTTGAAAAGAGTATTATGTCAATCTCGTCAGGAGCCGTAGGCAGTGACTGCATCAGCCGTAAAATGATCCTACCTGTCCTAGATGTAGTCCTCCCAGTCATAACACATGTCCTTAATCACTCCATTTGTACTGGAATCTTTCCATCTAGTTGAAAAAATGCTCAAGTCATCCCTTTACCAAAGAAATCCAAGCCATCATCCTTTGCTGACTACAGACCTATCTCAATCCTACCTTTCCTCTCTAAAGTCCTTGAACGTCTTGTCTACAATCAACTGTCCACCTTCCTTATTAAGAACCAACTCCTGAATCCCTATCAGTCTGGTTTCCGTGCTGGTCACAGCACTGCAACGGCGCTAGTAAAAATCACCGATGATATCAGGTCAGGTATGGAAAATGGAAAAGTCACTGTTCTTTGCTTACTTGACTTCAGTAGTACCTTTAATACGGTAGACCATGCCATTTTGCTTGGCATACTACGCTCAATTAACATATCTCCAGTGGTGATTGATTGGTTTCGTAGTTACCTGTTTGGACGCCGACAGCGTATTCGCATCGATGATTATTTTTCAAATTGGTGTGATATTGCCGCTGGGGTTCCGCAGGGTGGCGTTTTATCCCCGTTACTTTTCGCCTTATTCATTAATTTCATTTCAAATCAATTACTTTCGTCCTACCACCTCTATGCAGATGATTTGCAAATTTATTCCCAAGCTCGCATAAATGAACTTTCTCAAGCCATTTGTAATGTAAACAACGATTTAGACACAATTTGTAAGTGGAGCAAATCATATGGTTTGCGAGTCAATCCATCCAAGACTCAGGTTATTATAATCGGCAGCTCCTCAACAACTAACAAAATTGACTGGTCTCTGTTACCTACAATTTCATTTGATGGTGTGTCATTAACTCCCTGTGATAGCGTGAGAAACTTGGGTGTCTTAATAGATAAAAATCTTACATGGAGGCCTCAGATACAGGATGTGAGCCGAAAAATGTTTGCTGCGGCGGGATCCCTAAAACAGCTACGTAATTTTCTCCCGTTGTCCACTAAGACTGCGCTGGCACAAACTCTTCTTCTCCCTATATTAGATTATGCCGATGTCAGTTATCTTGACCTTACTGAAGAGCAGCTAAATAAACTTGAGCGACTTCAAAATTTTTGTATTAGATTTATATTTGGTTTACGCAAATATGATCACGTATCCGATTTTCGTAATAAGCTCAAGTGGCTGCCAATTCGTCTTCGCCGGAATGCAAATATTGTTTTGCTTCTGTACAATATCCTGTTTAATCCATCTATTCCTACTTATCTTCGGGAACGTTTTAATTTCCTTCATAATACACACAGTCATGTTTTAAGGTCATCGGAGAACATGAAATTGGAGATACTAAATTCTTTGACAAATCTTTTACTGTTCAAGCTGCCCGTCTCTGGAATGCGTTACCGGAAGATGTGAGACATGCACAATCTATAGACACTTTCAAAAGTAGACTTAAGGAGCATTATTTGTCACTATGAACACCGTTTGCTTTCTTCATCTTTGTATATATTTATATTAGTTTTGATATCATGATTATAATAATGTGTTTATGTAATCCATTATATTATGTATGTATTATTATTTAATATTTTGTAATTTGTAAGTATTTATTTGTATATTGTATTGTATATCATATTGTAGGTAATAAAGATTCTTTTAGACGCCATAGCCTACCCAATTATAATTTATTTTTTCCATTTTGTAACGGTTGCCTGGAAGAGATCGCGTCTAAGCGATAAGGCCGCCGATTGTACTTATTATTAACTTATTACTGTAAATTTTCTGACTGTATGGTGTTTGTACAATAAATAATATTTCATTCATTCATTCAGCCTTGAGCTGGTGCACCGAGGCCTAAACGGAGTGAGAGGGCCGGAAGTTTTTGCGATCCCCAATCAAGATGAATCAACAGTGGCTGAGAAACTAGTTCACTAAGTCTTCTATCGGTTGGGAGTTCCGTTGGAAATACACAGCGACCAAGGAAGGAATTTTGAGTCCCAAATCTTCCAAACTTTAGAATGTTATCTGAAAAAAGTAGTGAACAATAGGCAGAAGGATTGGAACAAGCACATTCAACCATTTTTTCTTTCGTATCAGAGCGCCTTGCATGAAAGCACCGCTTTAACCATGGCTTACGTTAATTTTGGACGTCAATTACGTATGCCTGCAGACTTAATAAAGGATATTCCCCCGAATTCTTCACAATGCATAACAGATTATGCAAATGAGCTGCGGAAGAAATTGGACGACATGTAACGAACGAACACATTCGACAGTCTGGACAACAGGCATCAGACAGGGTGAAGACTCATTATGAAGTCTTTGAGGAAAGATCACAAGTTTGGCTCCACA